GCAGCTTCGCAAATCCCTGCCGCTCGCGAAGCCGACAAACCGGAAGTCGCTTCGGGACTGTTTTATCTTTTTTATTTTCTTTTGAATATTCTGGTTGTTGTAAGAAGAAAGAAGGAGAAAAGAAAAGAAAAGATTTATAATGGCTCTTTCTGTTGAGGAACTAAGAAAAGAATATGAACAAGCAAAAAAAAATGGTAAAGATGGTGTGGAAGAAGCTTTCCTTTTCTTAGAAATGGCGCTTATTAATTATCAACAAAAATTACAACAGATGAAGACAGCAGAGGAACAAGAAAGAAAGGAAGGAGCCATCTTTAATGAATCTCAGAATTTGATCCAGAAAAAAGGAAGAGAGAAAGAAAAGAAGAGAAGAGAAAAGAAGAAAACTAAAGGATTTAAGGACTTAAGATCCAAAAAAACATTTAAGAAAGGGAAAAATAAAGTGCAAAACCAATATGATGATTGTAAACAAAGGGGAAAAGAAATACGACAGAGAAGGGAAGCCGGTAAGGCAGAGGCTAGAAGAAGGGGGGGTAGAAAGGTTTGTTGGGAAAAGAAAGAAAGGGAAAAGGGGAAAAAAGGAATTTTTTATGGATAATGGATAAAGTATAATTTTTTTTTTTTTAAAAAAAAGATTTTGCAAGGTACATAAGATGAGATGGTAGTATTGCAATGGTTTAAGAGTTGATAAGAGATTAAAATGTTAAAATGTTTAAAAATGATTGGCTTTAAAACTTAATAATAGGAGAGGTTTAGAATATTGTTTTAATTAAAGAGTTTAATAAAATTATGGTATTGATGTTATTATAAAATTTTTATTATAGTATTTCTTTTTAATATTTGGATTTATTGTCTAATTATGCACTTAATTGTGTTGGATGTATTAGATAGAATGTACCAAGCAAAATCTGATTGGGTATTAGATATTAAAGATTAATTTGATTAACTTAGGGGGGAGATAGAAAGGCATCATACTCTGATTAATGATTTCAGGAGAAACTGATTTTCTTTTTTTTCATAAGGGATGAGACAAAGGGATGATAAAAAATGGACAAAAGATACAAATATAATGATTTAAACTAAGATGATTAATTAAGGTAGAAATAAGAAGTGTGAAATATGTGGAGAAGTTAATATAGAAGGTTTAGAATGGTAAATAAAATAAGTAATGATATGTAAGATGAGCATGAATATAATTGAAGTCCATGAAGAGAGAGATACCTGGGCCCAAGTTACTTTCCAAAAAGATTTTTTTTTATGTTTTGTGTGTTGTGTGTATATGTCTTTTTTGGGGGGAGAATTGGTAAAAACTTATAGAAATATAGAATGAGAATAATGGTAACTAAGTCAGAAAGAATCAGATGAAATAATAATAATGATATTGAATAAGAGTAAAGAGAAGTAAAGAGAAATTGAATAAGAGGTTTTGGTATATTATATGGAAATGGTTTAAAACAGAATCATAATTTATCTGACTTGTTAAATTTACAATGGAAAAAGGTTTAAACATGTAATGAATAATGATAATTCGTGTGTTTTAAAAATTAATAAAACTTGTTTTAAAAAAAAAAGAAAAAAAAAAAAGAATGGGGTGTGAGATCCATGGTAGACAGTTGAAGGTTGAAGCTGTGAGGGGATGAGGCTGTAACAACGTAGTTGGATAGGGCATTCCAGGCATTGGTCACTCTGTTGCTGAAGTCTGCAATAGAGTTTGGACATCATATTCCATGGGATAGGCAGGTTTTAATACATTTTTGAAATATAAGGATGTTCCCGGCCACTGTACTTTGAAACGCAAAGTGTTGGCAGCACAGCACTGCAGAGTAGTCATGTTGTCAGGACTTCTTTCCAATCTTCCCCACTTCATGTGAGATGGGATCCCTCATTATACCTCCATAGAAAAATGCACATAGCAGGTCAAATCTTGGCAGGAGAAACTATCCAGTAGCTACCTGGAACTCTTCCATGTAGGACTTTAAAGATGATAACCGGTGGTTGGATTGGAGCAGGAAACAATGGCCAACCAGCACAGCCAATGTAACGTATGGTTTGTGTCAGTGTACACAGCTAAGGGTTGCCGCTTCTGAATTCTTTTCAAAGCCAACCTCATGAATTGCAGTAGCTTAAGCATGATGTGACAAGCACCATAGTCAGGGATTCATGATCCAAGCAGGCTTGCAGTTGGCACACCAGTTCAAACTGGACAAAGTCTTAAATGCAAGTCCTGTTTATGAAGGAATGTCATCTGACTGAACCCAGGAGGAGCTGATCTGCCCTTTGGAACATTTTGATGTCAGATTGGCCCTCGTCTTGCTGGCCTTTCAGAAGGGCCTGAAAACACAGCTTTGTCATCTGGCCAGGGATTCAGTCTTGTAGGTATGTAGCCTACAAAGTTGATGTATTTCTAAAAAAATTGAGTGTACTCTCCTGCAGATTATGTGTTTTAAATAGTTTTTATGGTTTTAATGATTTTTTTGGTTGGGTTTTTTGTTGTTGTATTGTTTTATCTTTTTAACTTTGTAAACAATTCAGAGTCATGTATGTGAGATGCGAGTGGCTAAATAAACGTATCCCAAAAGGGTCTATGGTCACTGTGTTCACTGGAGCCCTGTTGTGTAGTCCTGCTCCTTTAGGGAAAGAGTAACTCCCCCCCCCCAAGGTGCTTAGACTCAAGCCAAGACAGTCAGTAATTCCATCTCGCTTGTTTGATGAACCAGTTTCTCAGTCTCTGTCTCCCACCCAGCATGTGGTGCCTTGGCCAACATGGAGATGACCTCCACCTGAGGTTTCACTGTTGATGTTAAATAACATGGAGGAGAGGACCAAATGCGACAGTATCCCACAATGGAGTAACTATAAATGGAGTAACTATAATGGAGTAATGGAGTAACTATAAATCTGAGCATTAGATATAGACATAGAAATACATTAACTGAAGGCATGGTACTATTCTCGAATATGAATAGTTTGATTTTCATTTAAAACTAATCTGGATGGGTGTTCTCCCCTTACACTAAGCCACAGTGTAGTTTATTTATTTGGGTGTATTTGTTTTTCTAACCTACTTATCCACTGCTTCTGTCTGCAGGAATCCTGGGTGATTTACAGAAATAGCATAAGAATATATATACATTTTACATTTTTATTTTGACAAAAATATAACAAGTAATATTTAATAAAAGGTTACCAAGCACACATAATATGCTGACATAAATACATACAGTGTGTGTGCCAATACAGGTAGTCCTTGGTTTTCAACTGCTGTGTTTAGCAACTTTAGTTAGGACAGCACTGAAAAAGTAATCTTATGTACGGTCCTCACATTTATGACTGCCACATGACTGAGATTTGGGAACTTTGCAACCAGTGGCTGATTATGAACTTTGCAGCTTCCTGTGGTCACATGATCTCTATTTGCACATTTCACAGCCAACATTCTGACAAGCAAAGTCAGTGGAGAAGCCAGCAGTAAAATTGCAATTGCAGGCAAGTAATGTCTCACCCAGGGAACTTAGCAATGGAATTGGTGATCCCAATTTCGGTTGCTAAGTGAGGATTACTTGTATAAACACACATCTGTAGCTGTACAATCAGTCCCGAAAGGTCTTCTGGAATAACAAGTTTTTATTAACTTCTGGTAGGCCATGACAATAGAGGCTGTGATCTGGATCATCCTTGGGGTGAAGCTGCTCCATAAAACGGGAACCGCCACTCAGAATATCCCCCTTTAGCCCCCCCCCCCCCCAGCACACCTTTGGCAGGTGGGGTCTTTAAGAGGTATTCTGCCACCTAGGCAGAGATTATTTTGGATGATGGTCTTAGATATCCAGGCCCTGAGCCATATAAAACTATAGGTAACAATCTACACCTTGAAATACATCCAGAAACACACTGGCACCAGGTGCTGCTCCTGCTGTTGTGATGAAACATGGCAGTGCAGGTAGTCCTCAATTTATAACCATTTAGCAATGAGCCGCAACAAAAAGTGACTTATGACCGTTTTTCACACGACCTTTGCCACATCCCTAGGATCACATGATCAACATTCAGATGTTCCGCAACTGGTTCATATTTCTGACGATTGCTGTGTCCTAGGACCAGGTGATCACCTCTTGCGATCTTCTGAGAAGCGAAGTCAGTCGGGAACCCTGATTCACTTAACAAGAGGGTTACTAATTTAACAATTGCAGCGATTCACTTAACAACTGTGGCAAGAAAGGTTGTAAAATGGGGTGAAACTCGCTAAACAAATGTCAGCCTGAAATGACCAGTTTTCACTCTTAACAACCGTTGGGTTGCAACCCTCTTGGTCAAGTGATCCAACTTTGGGCACCTGGCAAACTGTATTTACGACAGCCGTACTGCCTTAGGGTCATGCGATCTTGCATCTGTTGTAACCTTCCCAGCCCACCTCCAAGAAACCACATCAACGGGGGAAGCAGATTCGCTTAACCACCTCATGATTCACTTAACAACTGTGGTTTTAAAAAAAGGTCGTAAAGTGGGACAGAGCTCTCTTTAACAACTGCCTTTCCTGGCAACAGAAACGTTGGCTCAAATGTGGTCGTAAGTCGAGGACGACCTGGTCGTCAGGACTTGACGAGCGCCGACCCGCTTAGCGCCCAGAGGAGGTTCCCTCCCCCCCCTCACAAATCCTTCGAAGGAGAGGATCCAAGGAAACGGCGCCTCACGCGGCTGCCTCTCCATCCCTCGAAGCGCCTAGAAGGACTTGCGCAAACCCTCCACCCCCCCCGCAGCACTTCCGCGATGGGTGCACCTTCAAATCGCAGACCCTTTTTTTGAGGGGGGGGCAAAGACCCAACTTTGCTTGCCAGCGGGGGTTGAGGAGACGGGAGCGCGAGCCGTTCCCGCCCCCGTGAGCCGCCAGGGGAAAAAAAAAAAGAGAGAGATGAAAGGCTCGGAGGTGGTCGGGGAGGCGGGTCCAGCTATGCAAATGAGAGAGGGCTCGCGCTCGGAAGAACGCTGCCAGGCAGGAGCCGGTTTGTAAGTCGCTTCAAGTCGAGGTGGAGCCGATGTCCGCCGACGAGGGTTAACAGGCGATTTCGGAGCGCGGGAAGCGAGTCCCTCATCATCATCACCACCATCATCGCCATCACCTCAGAATCGTCGGGTTGCCTTCAGTCTAGAACGCCCCTCGGTATTGTGACAGGGACAGTTCCCCCGCGGGGAATATGGCGAGTGTCAGAAATGGAATCGCAGGCAGAGGTGGCGGCGGCGGCGGCGGCGAGGAGGTAAGCCGCTCGGGGGAAGGAAGGGTCGGTTGAGTTTGGCGGGATATTTGGGGGGGGGGAGAGAGAGAGAGAGAGAGAGAGAGAGAGAGAACCGGCCACCGGGCGTCGCGTGCTGAGGCGCGTGAAGCGCTTCTCCAGCCCTGAGTGATACCCGCACGGGGATAGAGTCGTGTGTGTGCGCGCGCGCGCGCGCGAGAGAGAGAGAAAGAGATGTTACGTTATTCTCCTATCGGGAATAGCTCAGGCTCCTTTCCCCCCCCCCCCCCCCCCTAGGTCGTCGCGCCGCTGGGCCTCCTGTCTGATGTGGGGCCAGAGGCGGATGGAGGGGGAGGGCGGCAGGCCTGGAGCGCTTTCCTCCTTTCGGTGACGGAGCAAGCGCCTGGCTGGCTTCCTGTGGTATCCAACAGGTGCTGCTGGCTTTCAGGAAGAGGGGATGGGGTGTATGGGGTGTGTGTGTTCTTGGTCCTGTTTAAACCAATTTGATAGGTTTCTGCTGTCGGGTGTCATTTGAGAAATTGGGATTTTAACAGCACATCTGTGTCAGCTGGGTTAACCCCCCTCCTCCTACAAAGAAACACTCACACACTCACACACACACACACACAGAGTATTTACAGGTACTCCTCAACTTACAACAGTTCACTTGGTGACCATTCAAAGTTGCTCCGGCGCCTGAAAAAAAGTGACTTATGACCGTTTTTCGGACGTACGACCTTTGCAACATCCCCATGGTCACGTGACCAACATCCAGATGCTCGGCAACTGGTTCATATTTCTGACGATTGCTGTGACCTAGGATCAGGTGAGCCACCTTTTGCCATCTTCTGACAGGCAAAGTCAATCGGGAACCCAGATTCGCTCAACAGCCGGGCTACTAATTTAACAACTGCAGGGATTCACTTCACAACTGTGGCAAGAAAGGTCGTAAAAATGGGGCCAAACTCACTTAACAAATGTCTCGCTTAACAATGGAAATTTTGGGCTCAATTGTGGTCATAAGTTGAGGATTACCTGTACTTGTATGAATAAGATAGTTGTGCTGAATTCTTGACAGGTCCTTTTAAGTTACAGAGATAACTGATAAGCACACACATCCTTTGCTCATATATTTTATGAAAAGCAGTTCACTTTCTTCTTATCCTGGCCCTGTTTGATCTGTTCAGCAAACATAATAGTATTGGAATCAAGAAAAAAAAAAGAATCCTTCCTTACAAGTAAGTTTTAACGTTGGTTGTATATATTGAAAGCAGGTCACTGTTATTCATAGTGCAAAATACCTGGAAAATTGGAGCGGTAATATTTGATGTGAAGTGCTACACTCCAACAATAAATCAAACACAATATCTCTACTACCTTGCAAATTGCTAGTTCAGTTAGCACTTTCTGTGCTTATACAGCTGGTCCTCGACTTACAGTCACAACTGAGCCCAAAATTTCCATTGTTGAGTAAGATAAATGAATTTTATCCCATCTGATGACCTTTCTTGCCATAGCTGTTAAGTGAATACTGCAGTTATGTTAGTAACACAGTTATTAAGTGAATATGGCTTCCCCATTGATTTTGCTTGTCAAAAGCTCATAAAAGGCAATCACATGACCCCAGGAGCCGTCATAAATACATGCCAGTTGCCAAGCATCCAAATGTGAATCATGTGATAATGTGGATGTTGCAAAGGTCATAAGTCATTTTTTTAGTGCTGTTATAATTTTGAACAATCACTAAACGAATGGTTGTGAGTCAAGGACTACCTGTACTGTTTTATACTGGAGTCATGTTGTTTGAAAACTACCTGTAATGCCCTTTTTTAGGGGGGCATAATGTATTTCCTCAGAGAAACAGGATTGGAACATTCACCATCCTGTAGAAAAGCTGTTCATGTTTCAACCCAGTTATATATCCTGTAATAATGATTTACTGATACATATATGCATAATGATCTACAGAAATAAATCATCTGATATACATACACATAATGATTTATAGCATAGGCGTTCTATCTTTTGGCTTGCTTTGTCTGCATTGAGTGAAGAGGAATTGCCTTGGACTGCATATAAAATATATAATATAGTTAATGTATATAAATCACATAAATTACAAATTTACAATCTTGTGGGGCTGCATTACTAGCAGTCCAGGGCAACATGTGGCCTGTGAGCTGCAGGTTCTGCATACCTGACCCACAACCAGAAAATAACAAGAAATGGAATAGCTCTTTTATATGTTTTGTAAAACAATCCAGATGTTTTGTTCATTTTGAGGAAAATTGGGCAAACATTATAACAAACAGCCCTTACTCTTTGACTAGAGTTCAAGGGTGACTTTTTGTTTTAAATGCTGATGGCCATTTTATGGAAATGTTCAGGGTTCACTTTTATTTTTACCCATTTTTTTTAAGATGGATGTTATTTTGACTGGTTTTGAAAATAACTATGCATAGAAAAATTATTCTTAGAGGAAGTGTATTGTATTAGACAAAGCTAATAGTGTTGATACATCATTTGAGAATATAAAGAGGGCAAACAGAACTGTTTATAAATGTATTGGTTTTTCTGGAAAATGTAACTTGTTCTATACCATATTCTCTCAGAAACAACATAAACCTCATTTCATCTGGTGTCATCTGTAGACAAATTTACGAGCCTATAGTTTTGTGTGCCTTAATAGAAGCTTTTGAGCTTTGAGTCTTAATTCTACTTTTCCATCTCTCTATGGGAACCAGTTTGGTGTAATGATTAAGGTGTTGGCCTAGAAATCAGGAGACTGCAAGTTCTAATCCTGCCTTAAGTATGAAAGCGGACTGGCTGACTTTGGATTAGTCACTCTCTCTCAGCCAAACCTTCCTGACAGGATTGTTGTTGTTGGGAAAAAAAGAGGAAGGACTATTATGTATCACTAAATGTCTATGGAGATTCTCAGTCATCTAGGTCATGGTTGTCCCAAAGGTGCTTTTTCAAGAGGCAACTGGACTTTCTGGTTTTTCTTTGAAAATGTTTTGCTTCTCATCCAAGAAGCTTCTTCTTTCACTTCTCATGCAAGAAGCTTCTTGAATGAGAAGCAAAACATCTTCAAAGAAAAACCAGAAAGTCTAATTGCCTCTTGAAAAAGCACCTTTGGGACAACTATTATGTATGTTCATCAGCTTGAGTTACTTATGAAATAATAAAGGTATGATAAAAATCAAATACAGCTAGGGTAAGTAATAATGAAACTGGAATCTGTGTTAATTTAGTTTGTGGAGGGATGTAGTGAGGGTGTTCTAAAACACAGTTTAAGCAGGGGAATAAAATTCTCAAAAAAAAATTCTAAAAGAATTGGTGAAGGGAAATTTTAAGTTAATATTTTCAGCTATCTAAGCTATGTGTTAACAGAGATACTAATTCCAAAGTTTTTGCCTCATGTTTTCCTGTCTTTTTGAGATCCTTCTGTTCAAGGCTTCAGGTAATCATATTTTCCTATTTCATGTGAGCTGATATTAACTGTGGTTAACCCATATACCAGGGGTCTTCAAACTTGACAGCTTTAAGACTTGTGAACTTCAATTCCCAGAATTCTTCCTTCAATCATGTTAGCTCAGGAATTCTGGGAGTTGAAATCCACATATCTTAAAGTTGCCAAGTTTGAAGAGCCTTGCCATATACTAACATTTTTTCAAAATTCCAATTAGTGTTGAACTAGAATCATTCAAACCTGTCAGTCATGACTTGTAGCTCGATCCAAATCAGGAAATGTTGTATAAGAAAGTTTTATATACTTTTGTGTTCTTTTGAAGACTGACAGAAAGCTGCTGGATAAACAGGCAGAAGATTTATTTCAAATCATGGCCTGATTCTGAGATAGATCCGTGCATAAAGTCATGTATAGGTTATATCTCATTATCTAGTTTAATTCCTGGTTCAATGTTAAATTCTATATTCTAACATGAATAATACTTTGTTTGCTGTCACAGACCAAAACACAAGTACAACAAAAGAAGAACATGGGAAAATTAATCATGAACAATTGGTCACCAAAAACTTGACTAAGGGGAATTGCAGCGTTCTCCTCTGATGGTTACAGCTCTTTAAAAAAATTTGGAAACCAAAGAAGTGATATATGAGGAGCCATCCCCTAGACAATATAAGAACAAATTACTTACATTGGGTCTAGAAGGGTCTGTTTCAAGGAGAGACAGTAACTTAGATCTGCCTGTGTTATACATAGGGCAATATAAAAGGACATGCTCCACAGTTTCAACCTCAGCTCTGTCACAGAGGCATAGCCTCTCTTTAATCGGGAGTCTCTTAAATCACCCATCCAGTAGTGCTGAGGACAGAACATTAAAGCAAGCTAGGGAGAAAGCTCTTCTATACTTGAGAATGATTAGAGTGTAAAAATAGGACGCCATTCTCAGCCTGTAATTATTAAATTGGCTGAAGATCAGAGGGGAGCAAGTTTTGTTAGCTCGTAGATATTGCAAGTCAATGTCCACAAGCCGTTGGACTACTCTAAATTGGGCGTCCTTAAGGCCACAATCTCCCAGGGCATCCCCCGTAAAACCTAACAGGTGTAATTTCTTCATCAGCTTCCTCTCCCAATGAGAAATATGAGAGTCAGCAAATGCCAGGGAGAGGTAGCTACCAGGAACTGCCAGAAAGAGCACCCGAAACCACCATTTAAAGGTGTTAATCCACGCCATACATTCGACTGATCGAGTGCCCAGCTCCAGGTACATCGGAGCAAAACCAACACAAGGAGGAAGACCCAGAAGTTTTCTAAAAAAAGACAGCCTGGGTTCTTTCAATACAATCCTTGAAGCCCCGTATCCATATGGGAATTCTGTAAAGAGTTTGAGCCAAAGTTTTGGCTTTGTAAATACGCAGAGCAGAAGGAATAAACTGGCCTCCTTGGGTATAAAAAAATCTTAAAATCTTCTGGTGACTACAGGAAGCCAAGTTCAGCACCTGGGTTTGATGTCTAGTCCAAGCACTGGTGTTCTGAAATTGAATACCTAAATACTTAA